AATCCTGAATCCTCTATCTCACCAAAAGGAGAAACAAAGAAGAAGAAAAAGAAGCAAAAGAGACATGTAATAATAGTAACATGGGTACCGTTTAATGAATACACATGCATGTCTTTGTAGTATTCATTATTTCAGTTGGCTGTTTCTCAAATTTCCTTAAGGTACATATTGTTCTGCTACTCAGACAATAAAGTATGGAATATAATTTGCATATCTCCTATTGGATTGCCTTACGATTTGGAACGTTGATGTTTTGTTGGAATTTTGAAAAGGGCTTTTATACGGGGTACGGAGACAAAGAATAATGCAACAACAACAAATTCAGTATAATTTTACAAGCAAGCTCAGAGAAGGATAGTATGTACGCAAACTTTAACGTATCTTATGAAGAGATAGACTGTTTCCCGGTGAGATAAAGAATAATAAGAATTTAAAAAGACTCACTGAGTGGGGCCGATTAGGGTAATTTTTGTTCATCAAACCCTAATGGTTAGCGTAAATTTTTGTCTGAATATTGATGAACAAAAAGAGTATATATATAAAGTTAGTAGGGTTTGTATTAAAAATAATGAACATATCATACTAACTGCTATGGTTTGTAGTTTGTACCCAAATTGAATAAATTATAAAAGTTAATATCTAGAATAATTCCTATAATAAACTGCTAACTTGATAATGATATTGAGTTTGGAGAAATTGAAAACAATATCATAAGATATTTAGCTAGAGGTCATTATCATAATAAAACTATTAATAAGTCTTCTATTGACCAGTTGATAGGTTAACTTGAGGAGAGAAAGTTAAAAGTGTGTTTGATACAAACGTGACTTGCAATTAAACCAACTAGGTCCTTCGTTAGGTGAACTAATCATGCATGCAAAACATAAATTAAGATGTATTAATTTCAACCGTATCGTATACTATGTGCCTCAAAAGTTGTACCATATTCGAACACAGTTAAAAACTGGTTAGACCTTATCAACTCCTTCAACATTTTTTCTAGGATTAATTACTGCTAATAAATTAAAGATAACGTTCTGATTTTGCATTCCATTTCTCAACGGTCAAGTTAGTAATTGAGCTAACTTTAATTTGTAAATTTACCAAAGTAGAGGAGCGTGGAAGTCTTTACGAACCTCTTGAATGATCTCAAACAAAATATATGATTGTTTATCTCGAAAAATGTGAGTAACAATTAAAGGTGATTTGTGATTTTAAAGATACGTGATTTATTCTAATACTAGTAAATATACCAGTATTATTAAGTTTAAGTAAGAAGAATTGATGAATCAAACCAATGATGTTAGAGCAACGGGGGCCTCGAGGTGAGTTAAGAGCAAATAAAGTATAAATAATAAAGTAAAAATAATGAAGCTGAACAACAATTGTGGAGCACAGTAAACGAGAACAACATAGTAGAATGTTCTATTGCAGTGAATGAGATGAGATTTGTAAATGATTGAGGTCCCCTTTATATAGGAGGCGAAAACCCTAATCTAGTACATTCCCAATTATGGTAAAGAATTCTATTAGTACAGCTGTATAACAACCTAGTACGGACTCGTACTATTTCGTACAAATCTTATCCCATAATTTATGCCCTGATCCACATGTCCTTGAGAAATCCCCGCTCTTTCTTGAGTGTCATCGAAATTGTACTGCTCTCGAGGCAGATCATGACGGGTTTCCGATTTGCTCCCTCGAGGTATGCATTTTTCAGTCAGATCTGGTCTTTACTTTGTGCTGCCCGAACTCGAACCCGGGGTACTATTAAGTCCTCGAAATCAAGCTCTCCGATTTCGACTGTATACAATCATAAATTCATGAAATATTTGTTGGAAAAATATAGGATTATGGAGAATAAGATTTAGCTTGAGGCGTGTCAAGGACACTGTCCTTAAGGATATTTCGCATACACCATGATATATAAAATTAGGCGTATCCCCTAGGATTCAACAAGCTCTTCCAGTTATTAAACTGGAAACAGAACTAACAGAAAACTCAAGAAAGAAACCCAACATATATGAGGAAGAAGATGATTCAGAAAGTTGTATTAGAAAGTGTGTCTACCTCTTCAAATACCAATCTTCTGTTACTCCAACGGCTAGATAACGGCTAGTAACGGCTAGTTTGACTCTATTAATTATAAAAAAAACTTACTAAATAATAAATAGATGTAAATAATATTTCAAAGAGAAAAGTTTTCCCAAACCAAGATGGACATTACCTTTTGAGATATCACTAATTTTCTAACAATATTTAGGTTACAAACTAAAATTTAGACTCGAAATCAAGAATTAATGTAACAAGTTACACCATAGTTGTAATTATTAATTATCCAGTTCTTCGATGAAAATTAGGTAAACTAATCATAGAACTCTATATATAGGAAACAAACATCAAGAAAGTATAGCAAGAATATATAATTGCATAGAGTGGGAGTCCTCTCCTTTTTGACAAACTTCGATCAGTAATTGAAAAATTTGTGTCACTTCCCACTGCCCTTTTGTTTCAAAAAGCAATCAAAAGAATTTTTCAAAGGTCGCATTATGAGGAGAGAATTGTAAATAGGGATTTGCTTTATTTATTTATTAATTAGAATTTTTCAGAGAAAAACACGTTGTGGGACTTCTTAGTAAACACCTAAGTGGCGAATGGAGAGTATAAATAACCGGTTTAACTGAACTAATATTTTTTATACGAGGTAAAAATACATATGTAAAAGAATCACTAAAATTTAAAAAGTATTGAATTTGAACCCATATTTTTGGAAATCTAATGAGTGGAATAGTGAAGAAAACCGAAAGATTAAATACATAAAATTTTATATTCTAACTCCGCCTCTGACCTTTGGAATTATTACAAAAGAATCTTTCTCAAAGTTTTAGAACTATGGTTTTGAAGAGTTTCACTAAAGGAAGTCATTCACTAAGGAGTTGTTTGGTATGAGGTATAAGAAGCTGTAAGGGTGGTATAAAAATTTAATACCACCTTAATACTCTGTTTGGTTAGCAAACCAGATATAAGTTATCCCGGTGTTAATTTTAACACTGGGATAACTTATACCTTATAAAAGGTGGGGTAATTAGCACCGGTATAACTTATACCTTCTTCTTAGGAATTATGCAATTATCATTTTTAATACAACATACCAAACAATGAATAAACAACAATCCCAGCATAACTAATCTCATCATAACATATCACAATATAACTTATACCGATATAAGTTGTATTTCAACCAAACGACCCCTAAAAGTGTTGTCTACACCTCATTTCACTGATTAACATAGACAAACGAGAAGCTTTTTTCACAAATAGCAAGCCTAATTAACGTGTCTAATAAACTTAATCTACGTAATTTTTTTCAAAGCAATATTGAGGGTAAAAATAGCACGGTATAGCCAGTTTTCGAATTGGTAATTCAAAAATAGCCAACATTTACGAAGTCAATGAAAAATAGCCACTATTTTGCTGCAACAGAGACCGGTCCAGCATAATATATTGGAGTTTGGTGCA